GTGAACGAGGGGAGTAACTCTACCCCATCCTGGATCAACAGTGCTTCAAAGCCATGTGGAGGCTGGGCACTCTGAAAGGGACCCTAATAGGGGAGCGCCTCCAGCTCTAAGGTTTACATTGCCAACAGGCAATGTCACGGGTGTCAGCCCAGGCAGTGCTTCGGCTCTAAGGCAGCATACTCAACCATCCCAAGTGGGAGGGAGTAACTAATCTGTCTCTACCTGAGCCTGGGTGGTGAAGGGTGATATCATACGAGCTATGGGTAGAAAACTACTCTAAATAAAGACCCTAACAAGGGGAGTACTATCAGCATGACCCTGAGGAATGTATCAGGGTCGAGGCCTATTATTTTGTATTTTTTACAAGACAGATTTTACATTCTCTACTAAACCCAAGGAAATGGAGGCCACAATAAGCAGCAATTTTAAGGCCTAGCTGGATAAACTAGCTACAATACTCAGCTCTAAAGGGCAGAGGCATGAGCATACTGCTTCTTACTTTCTAAAGAGAAAAGGCCTAACAACGCCCATGAGATATCTGCATGGGAGGCTTTTTGATGATAGCCTGCTACCTATGCTGTGATCTACCCTGTAACACCACTAGGGATGGGAATTGATAAGATTTTATCAATTTCAGTGGCACTGACGATTCTGCTTATCGATCCGATTTTTTAACGATTCGCTTATCAATTCCTGATAGCACTGTGGAAAAAAGTAGTCATATGCTTTTTCGCCAAAAAAAACAAGTGATTTTATTTGTTTTAAAGCTTACACTTGAGTACGCAAACTGAATAATAAATAAGCTTTACAAAATAAATAAAAAAATCTTTTGTAAACACAAGCATACAGGTTAATTAAAACTATTCTCTATAAAAACAGGGATGGAATAGTTATACATAATACAGTGTTTTCGTAGAATGTGCCTGTTATTTGTAAGATATCAGTGATATTTAACATTACATTACTCTGCTCAACGGAGGTAACGTTGCTTCTAGCTTGGGCAGTGGATCAAAAACAAGGTGTGGTGAGCAGGACAAGGTCGAGGGCCGTGGGACAACGGCGTGAGGCCGGTGGCGTGATTTGATAATGAGCGACACCTGCGCGACGCACCGGTCTCATATCTCTCATGGAGGAGCGGAAGCATAAAGGAGGAGCGACGACAGTTAAGAACGAGAGGAACAGGCCTGATTTTATGTTGTGTTTTGTTTCTGTTTTGTGTAGCCAGCAGTCGTCCGCGAGGGGCTGCTGGCTTATACTTTCATTTTTGTATTTGTTTATTTATTTATTAAAATCTTTGAATGTTCGCAGGTTCCCGCCTCCTTCTTCCCATAACATTTGAACCTCGTTACACAAGGCATTCCTGCAATTTAGTGCCATGTGTAGGGCACAGGGCGATGTCGAGGGCCGTGGGAGGACGGCCCTCGTGGATTATCTCCACTGTCGTCGCTCCTCCGTGAGAGATACGAGACCGGTGCGTCGCCGGAGCTCGCCACCGGCTCACACTGAAAATGAATGACTTCCGGCCACTTTGACGCTCTCGCCGGCTGCGGTGTGAACACACAGTAAGCCAGAAATCGAGGCTGCCCCGTGAGGGCCGACACACGAATATAAGTGACTGAAGTTCAGAGCTATAATCTCAACGACTCTCTAAAGTGAGAGGAGAACTGCTGCTCTAGTATAAGGTGGCTATTAAGGTGGCCCGAAGAGGGCCAATGCTTGACTTTGTAGTTCTATCTGGAGCTTGACAGAGCGGTGGCCTCAGTAGAATAACTCCCGATAGGGAGGAAGCCATCTCACACAAAAAATGTCTATTAGGTGCTCGGATGAACGGTGGCCTCACTAGAGAATTTTCCATACAGCCAACCTGTTCACTACTACAGATTGGCACTACCCGTTATATATGCCTGACGACTCTAACATGAGAGGAGGCTTATGGGAAGGGTACTCATAGCCTACCTATATATGGGAACTTCAGGGCCCTAATTTCACCATCCTATGAAAACCCTACTTAACACCCCCTAAATACTTTCTAACAGGGAACCGTGGTCTAGTACTCAACCTTACTAAAAAACTCTCGTAAAGGGAGAAGACCTACAGAGCTCAACCTGCTGCCCATAGAGCAATGGCCTAAACAACATTCATAAAATAGAGGCCTATCACCATAAGAGCACGAAAGAGCGCACTTACTACCAAACACGATGCCAGACCTACAGAAGGATTCCAAATTGAAGGAATAACTCATAATAGGTGCAGCCTCAGGGCTGATGCAAAAAGCGCTTGGGGCGAGAGATTTAAATGCTTCAAATTTGTCAGCAGATGTTTGCAGTCTCGTATGTTTGCAAATCTGCATTGTGTGCAAGGCGTTCGGGTTGTATATCCTCTACACCCTCATCAGCCATCTCCTGCTCTCTTGGCCTGGTTGTTTATATCCAGCAGAGCACTTACTGCTGGATCAGAGGATTTTAGTGACAACACATCGTCATCCCATAGCTCACTCTCGCTAGTCTCAGAGGGGCGTGAGAGATTAACAATTCTCTCAACCTCCTCAACGAACTCCCTCTGAAAACCCCACGATTCCAGTCTCCGCTCTGCCTCAGCGCGAGCGGGACCCAAACCGTCTGGTACAGATGTCTGTTCCTCTTCCCTTGAGAAAAGGGCAGACGAGAGTAGAGTTTTCTCAAGGGAAAAAAACTCACAGTGGCACAAGCAGATCCCTCAGGAACTGATTGTAGGTGCTCTGAGCCCAACAATAAACACACAAGTTGTGTGTCATCAAGTATCAAATATCTTAGAGACGGATGCACACACTTCCTGAAGCGTTTGTCACAAGCCTATGATTACCTTTTGAAGTTTTCAGGTTGAAGCGTACAAACAAAACAGTCCCTGAAGAAGAAAAGATGTTGACATGTTCTCCAGGCTCCCCTTATATACTTCCGGGTCGCACTAGTAGTGATGTCATAGGCTGTCGCCGGCCAATAGGATTGCCGTGATTAGATTCACGCGGAGGCGTTCCCCAAAGTGTCATCGACGCAGTGCGAGTTCCCTTTCGAAAGGGAAGTACACTTATTTAGATGTTACATACTAACATACATACTAAAACATACTAAAGCACAAAGTACTTGATTATAATTGTACCTTTAGTGTGTTATTTGATATTACATTTAAAGTTACCATATTTTAACTGTACTAAATTGTAGCTTTATCATTACAAATGTATTTACAAATTACATGACATACAGTACAAGTTTCAAAAGAAATGACATCAAAGTATATTTAGTTTACCATAAATGCTTGTCTGTACATTTGACAGTATTTAATCATGTGGCAATGGCAATAGATGTACTGAATGGAAGAACTGATAAAAAATATCCTTTCTAAATGTCCTAAAGTGCTAATTCCATTTAGTATAAATTTAAACTATAATACATATTAATTTAATTGGAATTAAGTATCTGAAACATTTATCAGTTTACACAAGTATATTCTTTAAAGTATATTATTTGCATAAGTCTTCCTTTAAAAATAGTGCTAACATTTACTTATTTTTCAGTTGTACTTCTCTTCTCAGTGGCCAGTTTATTTCACACACACACACACACACACACACACACACACACACACACACACACACACACACACACACACACACACACACACACTTCACTTCTTCCCTGAGAAGAAAAACATGTCACCTAAAAAGGCCTCTAGATCTAACGTTAAAAGCTGTCATTTTCTGTTAAGCGAGCTATCTGATGCTCTGGAACAGTGCTAGATCATTTTAAATATCTGTTTAAATATGTCTAATAGGTCAAATGGAAATAAGCCATTTGTTAGTTGTTGTTTTTTTTTTGTTTTTTTTTTACTAAGCCAAGAGAAACTTTGCTTGTTAAATCACAGTTTATTGAATGCCTCTGCATGGGTTAGCAGAACTCAGGTGTGCTGGGCACAGTGCCATCAGAAAAGCACAGTCGGGTTTGTGAGCATTAATGCTGAGCGCCGGGAAAGAGTCACATTGCTGGCAAGAGGAATAGTGTGCTTGCTCAGTGCTTACAGCATCAATGATGGGAAAATCTACTGGATAAATGAAGTGTGATTATCTTTTAGCCTCCTTCCCCCTGTGTGGTTTAGCCAAAGTTTTTTTTTTTTTCCTACAGGTGCATCTGTTGCTGACTGCGTTAGCCTTTTGTTCATCCATCAATGATATTTAAACTGCTACATGATGAATGATTAATGATGTGCCAGTGCAAATTAGACCAAATGCTGAATACAACCATTGTAAAAAAAAAAAAAAAAAAAGAATAAGCGTGCTTAGTTGTATTGAATGTACACTTAAAAGTAAAATCTTGTAAAAGCAAAAAATAAAATAAAAAATTGTACTTGCAGATAATATAATATTAAGGAAATAAAAGGCCACTTAAGTGTACTTAAAGAGATTACACGTTCGTGAGTATGTTTCAGTACACTTAAAAAGCGCACTTACAGTATAATGTCAATTAAAAAGTTTAAAATTAAAGTACATTTTAAATCATTACATTTTAATATTTTATTGTGCTTTAAAGAACACTTATGTGTTGACTAACATACTAAACCACATCTTATTTTAACTGTAGTGTTATTAGATATTACATTTAAATTACAAATATATTTAATGTACTATATGCGAGTTTTAATTAAAGTATGTTTGGCTTTGTCAGTTCAGCTAATTGCATTTAATATAAATTTAAACTTTAACACATGTTCATGTAATTGCAGTTACAATGCAATGAAGTGTCTGAAAATATTACATTCAGTTCACACTTTAGTATATTCTTTTAAAGTATAATATTTCTCTAAGTACTCTTTTTAAAAGTATGCTAAAGTATACTCCTTTTTCACTTACAATTGGAGACTTAAGTTACGGTACACTGAAATAAGGCTCAAAATGCATTGCGCAGCCGGACACTCCAGCTTTTTTCAGCATAGAATGAACATCTGATCTATTTATTTTCTAATCTTCAAAGGGGTTACCGGACTCGTTCAGCTAGATGAGAATGGTGATCGGGAGATTGACTTTGCTCTATGGGACATGACCGACACGAATACAGGAGTTTATCAGGTACAGAGCCCTTCATCTGATCACATACACCTTTTCACATTTAAAATGCATAACTGGCTAAACCCACCTCACCACTGCTGAAATGATTGCTGTGTGTCTTAGATTGTGTCCGTGTATAATGGCAGTCAGAAACAGATGATTCCAGAGCCAGGGTTGAAGGTGCACTGGCTGAAGGGAAGTCCGCCTCCAGATATCCCTCTGTGTGGGTTCAAAAATGACAACCCTTCCTGCCTGGCAAGTAAGTGCAGACCCATATAACTCATACAATAATACATCTGTTCGAAAAGACACCAGACTCCACTATTATCAGCCAAAATCATGTTCCAAAATATATCTTCCCAGATAAATTACACTCAAATCAATATTCCATGTGCTTGCATTTGTATTTATATATACAAACATGCATATTCATGAATATGTACATTACATACATGTATACATTTGCACACATTATATATAGAGGTGTAAAGTGTTGCCAAGTAATGTTTATCATTATAATTTAGTGCAATGTTTTAAAGTAGAATCTGTGCAATCAGCTTTGAAATGAAGACTGTAGTGACCATTTAATGGATTTTTGTTTAAGTGGGTTGAAACTTGGAGTTAATGATTAACTTGATAATTAAATCAAGGAATGTTCCATGTTGTTTTAATACAGCTCTATAATCTTACGTAATTAAGTTTAGGTTAATAACAGATCCAAAAATACCACATAGCAGTTCATTATTGTGAGGGCTTCATTTTCTCTGTGGTCTCATCAATTTTTAAAATTAAAATGCTTGTGTTTACGGGTGTATTTCTGTGAAAGGGTACACCAGACTTACTGTAATATGCTCTGGTAAAGATCAGGCACGTCAACCATACCAATTATAGGATGGCCATACAAATGATAGGATAAGATGGAAACCAACTGATAGCTCAAAACATGACAGAATTCATCAGATCCATCTAATACTTACTAATGTTTGTGTTGTTGTTTTCCCACCAAAACTGTCACTTCCTGGAGGATGATGTCATTAAGGACCCAGATCAAAATGTCTCATTAAAATAGGGGAATTATTTACACTATCATTCAAAAAAATGTGGGATTGGTAGTATTTTTAATGCTTTTTTTAAAGTCTCTTATGCTCACGGGTCTGCATAGTAAGACACATGATGAAAACATGAAATGTACCGCATTGTGGAAATGACCCATCTGATTAAGATTTAGTTATTTGTCAAGAAAAAGTTGCCTACTTAGCAGTTAACAGCCCTCGTGGTAAATTTGGATTTTTGTCAATTTCATGAAGTTCTCATTGAAACTTCATTATATGATTTCAAATACTGAACAAAATGTATGAAATGATTGCAGCAGGTTAGATTACTTTGCTGTCTCTGTGAAATATAATGAAATTCAGATGTGTGGACATTTTGTTCTTGGTTTTGTTCCTCAGAGACGGTCACCATGCACCAGATGATCTCCATAGTGGTGTGCTTCATTTTTATCATCATCGTAACGGTCACAGTCTTCATATACAGGTCAGTTGAAAACCGTGCAGATAAACACAGTGTCTATACTGAGAGCGAGCGACAAAACAAATTTAAAGCGCTTTAATAAGGCTTTATTGATTATAACATGAGCGTTCTTGTTTTTGTTGCGTCATTGGCCTGCAGTGTAGACATAGTGTAACACTACATGTCAGGTGTGCAAATACTGATCTTTGGGTGATATGGGTCTGATATATTATATCTCTCTGTCTGTCTTTCTTTCTGTCTTTCTCCTCTATCTGTTCCTGATGTTTAATTAGGGAACTTACTGCCAGACCACGACAGAGACAGATATAGCAGCTCATTCTACGTCTCCATGACTTCATCACTTTATTCGATATGCGGCCATGTATCCAATGACAATGAAATGCATATGATTTCTGTTAAATTCATGCTGAGGATTGCAGCCAATGATGGTTGTGTATTAAAAAGGCAAAGTTTAAACTGTTGTCCAAATATGCTGTAGATCAGTGATGTTTAGCTGTTCACATTCCATTACCATAATTTTATTTTTATTTAATTGCACTTATTTTTTATAAGACTTATATACATTTAAAAACAATAAATAAATGTTACACATAGTGTTACATATATTTATATTTAGAGTTGGGGTAGGGTCAGAGTTTTCTGTCAAACGTGTTGCTTTCAGTTCTTGCATATAGAGTAACAAGGTTCTATGTGTGTAAGACCGAAAGAAGGAGTTGATGACCTGCATATGCCCCAGACATATAAATTCATAGAAATTACTTAAACATTATGATGTATTATGACAGATAGACATTCAGCTTTCACCCAGCTGTGCTTTCCAAACATTTTTAAAGTAATTCAGAATTTTTGTTTGTTTTTTTTACCCAATTTTATCCATTTTATCTAATGGGTTAAAGGGTTAGTTCACCCAAAAGTGTAATTTCGGTCATTAATTTCTCACCCCAATGTCGTTCCAAACCCGTAAGACCTTCGTTCATCTTCGGTACACAAATTAAGATATTTTTGATGAAATCCGAGAGCTTTCTGACCCTCTATAGACAGCAACGTTATTTCCACTTTCAAGGCCCAGAAAGGTAGTAAAAAAATCGTTAAAATAGTCCATGTGACTACAGTGGTTCAACCTTCATTTTATGTAGCGACGAGAATACTTTTTGTGCACAAAACAAACAAACAAAATAGTTCACGTGAGCACCACGACGCATGCGTGTGTTGCTGATGCAGGAGCCGGCCAATACTGAGCTGGCGTTCTGATGTAGAACCCAGAAGCGCTGCACTGTGTTTACAACGTGAACAGCGTCAGAGACTGACACGGAAGAGAAGAAATTGTGTTCTAAAGATGAACGAAGGTCTTACGGGTTTGGAACGACATGAGGGTGAGTAATTAATGCCAGAAATTGAATTTCTGGGTGAAAATTATAAGAAATACAGCAATGCTTATCAATAGGGGTGTGACGAGATCTAGTGTCACGAGGTCTCACGATATTAAAATGTGATGAGATTTCTCGTCGAGGTGAAAAGCTGTCTCGTGATATTGCCATTGCGCGTGCGTGAGGGTGAAATTAGCATAGAATATGACACTGCTATGTTTACATTACATTACAGTGCCCACTGCTGCACCGCCTCCACTGTCGTTTTGCTTTTTTATTGAAATAAAAACCATTTCATTCAGTTGGATAACAGTCGCTTCAATTGTAAACTATTGTAAACGTCTGCTTTGCTCATCCAGCACAAGCTGCAGTCGCACAATGTGCAGAAGGAATCACAGTTCACTGATCATGTGACGAGAGGAAGGTGAGAGGTGACTCATCTTAATATGACTGACCATAATATGACTGACAAGACCATGGCGGAGTCGTTGCGCAAAAGTGCACGAAGGCGAAACAAGCTCCCTGAATGCACACAATTTAAGTCTCCCAATATCAAACCTATCTTAGGCTGGGCTGTGTAGGTTTAGCTCTAGTCTCTGTTTTAACTTTGAATATTGAGAGAGTACTTTGATTATGGTTCCACTTATTGTTTGCATAAGACTAAGACATTTTTTTTTTTTTTTTTTTTATGTTATTCATACTGTTTTTATTTCTATGTTCAATTTGTGGAAAGGTGTTCAATTAGAATGTAACACAGCCTCTATCAAAAGTTCTGGAAGCTCATAATTCATGTACTGTACGCTCTGAAGAGACTCATGTGAAATCATACAGGAGAAAAGCCAGTCAGTTGAGTTGTTGTCTTTCAATGCATATGATAATTCATACTTAGAAAGTAGAACTGAAATGGCATTCATTACAAGATGATCAGTTAAAACATTTCAAAATGCTCCTGCAGACAATTTTTCCAGTCATGAATTTTGTCATTGAGGATTTCTTAAAAATACTGTGCAAAAATCTCGTCTTGTCTCGTGAACCCAATCTCATGTCTCGTCCCGTGAGCTAAGTGTCTCGTCACACCCCTACTTATCAACGATATTCATTAAGTCAGGATATCAAGACATTTCATTTGAATTCATAGGACATATGATTAGAGCTGTCACGTTTTGTTGTTTCATGTCTTTTATTTAGAAGTTTAATCATACTCATGGTTCTTGGTTTGTCTTGTCATGTGATTCTCTGCTCTGTTTGCTATTGGCTCATGTAAAAGACATGAAACATGAACATGAAACCAAACCCAAAACCAAGCGTGACAGTAACCAACGATTATTTTGATGATCGATTATTTTTTACAATTAATCTAATTATTTTCTGGTCAGTCGATTACTCCTTAAGGTAATCTACCATAACTTTTGCCATTCATCTTTTTACGTTTTATTCAAACATTTTTTCATAAAAGACAAATGTAAAAAAAATAATGTTAAGCCAAGAATTAAAAGGCATCTATCGGTAATACAAATGTCCATGATGGCTGCATTCATAGTCACTGTTTGGGACTGACAGTAAGATGTGAGTCTTGAAATGTTTTGTTCATTTAAAAGTGAACGAACAGCTGACGTCACAACCGCATTCAGCAACAGTATCAAAAATGACGATGTCCATAACATTGAGAAGTTTTATTACAATTGACAGTGTGTTATTAAATAAATGAATCCAATCAAGGCTTGAGTTCATCCATCAGATTTTAAACAACCAACAAGGACTTTAAATGCTTAGTAACAGAGAGTATGTTTGAGCCGCACTCACTGCAGCTCTGGTGGTTCTGCGGATGAACACAAATCATTTGTCCATCTCCATGAGTAAAATTAATGATTATACAGTTTACTGTGGCTCTCACGTTCTATGACGTGGCAGACAACTAGAATCGAGAATGCGGTTGTGAGTCCTGAAAATGTGCAGGTTTGGTTATATAACGGGGTTGTCACGCTCGTAAACAAAAAAAACCTGCTGTATTAGCGCAACCGTATTAAGAAGCGCTGCCATACTAGCCATTAGCATCTGCTCAAGAGGTTTTTTTTGTGTGTGAAATATGACAGGGGATTAGGGATGAACGTAAACAGTGGGACACGTTGACACTTTCCACACAAATAATAAATAGCAGTGAAAATAGCAACAGTGTGTTATTGTTATTGTTATTATGAAGACACAGATGGTTTATTCTTAATGTGTATATATAGGCTCAAGTAGATTATTTTATCCCTTCAAAGGCTCTCTCACATTAAAGTTGGAGACCCCTGCTTTAGACTGTCAGATATCTGTGCATTGGTGATCTTCTCTTTCTGTAATTCCATCTACCTCTTTTTACAGCCACGTTTAGATGAAAACCACATTTTCCAATGGTTCACTCTACAATTGCTCTGGCGAATGCTGTTGTTCACTTTCAAATGACAAAAATTCTAACTGCAGTGTACACACTTCCTTTATAGGAAACAATATATGTTTTAATAAATTATCTTATTATTATAAGTCTTATATGTAATTGTAGAATAGCCCAACTATATACAGACAATACGATTGTGTTTATTGTGCTCTGTATTAATTATATAAATGTCTTCATGCTTTAGTCATTATATAATAATAATCCTGCAAACATGCTGATACTTCTAATAATAAAATATCAAAGTTCTTGGCCTCTGAAGGATATTTGATCTATCATTACATGTGCCATTTAAATATTCCATTGCTGATAGTGACACACATATTGGCTTGTCTTATTTAACATATATAACTCACTATCTTTAACGTGGGTCTGTTATTCTCCTTTGTCTTTTTTGTCTGATGTTTCCCCCATTGCATCCCTTCTCTCATTGTCCCTCTCCTCTGCATATTTATACTCTTCTTTCTTTCTCTCTCTGTCTCTTTCTCTGTCTGTCACTCGGCGGGCATCAGGAAGCTGAAGCTGGAGAACGAGTTGACCGCTCAGTTGTGGCGTGTGCACTGGGAGGACATTCAGATGAGTAACATGGAGAAGGTGCTGCGCAGAACCTGCAGCAAACTCACCATCTCAATGGTGAGGGGGAACACACTGCCATTTCTAAGAGTTTCCAATAGTTGAAGTAAACATACCCATGTCTTACTCCTCTTTCCACACACAGAGAGGCTCTAACTATGGCTCACTGCTGACTATGGATGGAAACTTCCAGATCTATGCCAAGACTGGCTACTACAAGGTATTAAAGATTTGGTGGTTAGGGGTGCATTGGCCACTGGGCCCATTAGGTCACATTCGAATTTCATTATCTTTTTGTCTTTTAATTGTAAACATTTTTAAATAAAATATGTAGTTTTGTTCATCTGATTGGATTATTTAAAAAAAAAAAATCATGATCCTGTTTCAATTTAGGAGCCTTTGTCTGAAAATGAAAATCCTGAAAATGAAAATTGTCAGTAATTACTCGCCCTCATGTTGTTCCAACCCCGTAAGACTTCGGAACACAAATTAAGATATTTTTAAAGAAATCTGAGAGCAGTCTCACTCCTTCATAGGCTTTTAGGTAATTGTATTCTGCCGGGCTAGAAAAGTTAGTAAATACATCGTTAAAATAGTCCAAGGGACTACAATGGCTCAACCTTAAGTTTATCAAGTGACGAGAATACTTTTTGTGCGCCAAAATAACGACTTTACTTAAATTTATTTAACTATTAATTTTCTTCCGTGTGGGCCTCTGACGCGAATTTCGCATGCGCGAGAACTGAGAAGATAACTTTAACCATATTTCAAAGACAATAGAAGTTGTTCTGAAATTACATATAAAGATGTACTTACAGTAAGTCCTAAGGTCGAAATAGCTCTCTAAAGTTTTTGCTAATTGCATTTAACATAAATTTTAGCTTTAATACATTTTCATGCAATTGTCTGAAAACATTGCATTCAGTTTGCACTTAAGTATATTCTTTTAAAGTACATTGTTTCTGTAAAAAAAATTAAGAGTATCCTAAATTGTACTTCTTTTTCACAATGGATGAAAATACACACTTAGGAGTCAAAATAAGAGGTTTATTATTTAGACCCATTCATTCCAATACATTTATTCATTCCCTGTTTTACTAATTACTGTTCTATCTGTGTGCTGTTTTTTACACTTAAAAAACTGACATGTCAAATAATGGAAGGGTTCGTCTTTAGTACCTCCATAATACCATCGGCTTGCCCAGGCTAATGGCCTGTTCTTCATCTGTTGAGCTAGCTCCTCTCCAATTAAGCAGAACCCCTGAGAATGAGTGCTATTTATGTCCACATGTCATCATTTTCTCCATTAATTAGGATGGTGCTTAATTAACACATTATGTTGCTCTTTTTTTCTCGTAAATGATGAGGCATTTCTTCTGTTTCCAAAGTCCTCAGACTCTTTGCTAAGCCCACGACAGCAATCAGGGTGAAACTAATGTACATTGGTGCCTCTTTTCCAGGGAAACATAACAGCCATTAAGTATGTCAACAAGAAACGCATTGAGCTCACCAGGAAAGTGCTGTTTGAACTCAAACATGTAAGTGTGCGTCCATGCCGTTTTGTGCTTTTTGCCAGGTGCCTTCATCATAATTAAGTTTATATGATGTTCTGGGAGATATTAATAGCTGGGGACTGATGGAAAAGAGGGGCTAAACAGCTCTCTCTCTCTCTCTTTCTCTTTCTCTCTCTGTCCATTACTGTTATAGATGCGAGATGTTCAGAATGAGCACCTGACACGCTTTATCGGCGCTTGTATCGACACACCCAACATCTGCATCCTTACTGAGTACTGTCCTCGAGGCAGCTTACAGGTAAACACGACTGCTTTATTCGCCATCTATGTATTAATAGATGGCTCATATTTATGCCACACTTTTTGTTACACAAACCAGGGCTCAACAATAAGGATTCCAATTTTTACTTACCTTGCCAGTATTTTCCCTGCATGCGTGCATAAATAAATAAATGAATAATTAAACAAATAAAAACATGTTTTTCTACCATCACATACAATATAAGCTCTTCTCACTATAACTATAACAAATATTCTCACTATTAACTAGTTGCTTATTAACTTGCATATTACTTGGTTATTGGCTGTTTATTAGTACTTCTAAAGCACATATTAATGCCTTATTCTGCATGACCATATTCTACATCCCTTAAAGGGATACTCCACCCAAAAATGAAAATTCTGTCATCATTTACTCACCCTAAAGTTGTTGCAAACCTGTATGAGTTTCTTTCTTCTGCTAAACACAAAGGAAGATATTTTGAAGAACGATTGGAACCAAACAGTTGTTTGGCACCATTGACTTCCATAGTAGAAAAAAAAATACTATGGAAGTCAATGGTGCCAAAGTTCCAATCATTCTTTAAATTATCTTCCTTTGTGAGAAGAAAGAAATTCATACAGGTTTACAACAACTTGAGGGTGAGTAAATGATGACAGAATTTTCATTTTTGGGTGGAGTATCGTTCGTTGTTCGAGTATCGTTCGTTGTTCGTTGAACAACGAACGAACTGATGTGACGTCATTTCGAACAAAATCAAGCCAAAATGAACTTCGTTTGTTTTGGGAGTTCTAAACAGTTGGCCAAATCGAACTTTCCAGAAAAGTTCGGCTCCGGTTGGTAAACACCTTTTCCACTACCATTGGTCCGTGGCGATAACGTAATAGATAGGTGTGTATGGAGACTCCGCCGCCTTTCACGTGGAGAACTTTTCCGCTTCATTTCCACTATTCACTCAGTCGAGGTCAGACGTCCGCAATAAAACATGAAATCTATTGTATAAAGTACTATATAAATAAACGTGACATGATTTGTGCCAAAGTGCAGAGCTTGTGCAAAAATATCCACATTTCTATGATCAGATGCTTTTCTTATGCTTTATTAGAGAAAATGCTTGCTATTTTCTCAATTTTGTTGTCTTTATTTTGTTAATGAGAGGAAAGCGTGCTGCACATTTTTACATATTCATCTAACCGCCTTTCTCAGCAGTGTGGACGGCATCGGATGTTCACTGACAGTATGTAGCTGGTCACGTATTTCGAACTTGGTTTTACCCCTTAGCAAAGAACGAAAAAGAACTTCGCTTTGTTTATATCGAGGCCTTTAATTCTACCCAATACCTAAACTTAACAACTACCTTACTAACTATTAATAAGCAGTAATTAGGAGAGGTAAAAGTCGTAGTTAATAGTTTATAGTGTGTTTATATGTGTGTTTGTGACCTGTAGGACCTCATGGAAAGTGAAGGAATCACGCTGGACTGGATGTTCCGCTATTCTCTGATCAATGACATTGTTAAGGTGAGCGCTTCACCTTCTTCACTTAAAGGGTTCGTTCACCCAAAAATGAAAATTCTGTCATCAGTTACTCACCCTCATGTTGTTCCAAACCCATTAGTCTTTCGTTCATCTTTGGAACACGAATGAAGATATTTTTAATGAGATCTGAATTTCTGCTCCTCCATTGACAGCTACACAACTACCACGTTGACACTTTAAAAAGTTCATAAAGAGATCGTAAAACTAATCCATATGAATTGAGCGATTTAGTCCAAATTTTCTTTATGAACTTTATGAAGCGTCAAATTGGTAGTTGTGTAGCTGTCAATCGTGGGACAGAAATCTGTCAGATTTCATTAAAAATATCTTAATTTGTGTTAGTAGTAGTATAGATTAAAGGAACTATCCCTTTAATCTCAGAGGGAGAAGGAAAGGGAAAGATGTCATGCTGTTTTAATGTTTCTTGTTAAAGAACACTAAAATATAACTGTATGAATCTACAGCAAACTGCTCTACATATTTTAAAATACTCTTCTTGGTTTGACATTATGTGGTGAGACGTGTGTTATTTGAAAGGGTTTATGAGGATGTCAATTCCCTGACTGGCAAATTATGACTCCAGAAACCATTATTGCAGTTGCAAAGGAGTCTTTAATTAATATTTTCGTGGTGTGGTGTTGGTAAATACGATGGATGCTGTCAGATGTCTTTGTAAGAGTGTCATCTTTTCACCACTCAGGGAATGGCGTTCCTCCACAACAGCGTCATTGTCTGTCATGGCAACCTGAAGTCTTCCAACTGCGTGGTGGACAGCCGCTTCGTGCTGAAGATCACAGATTATGGTCTGGAAAGTTTCCGCAAGGAGAATAACTTGGAGGACCTGCACGCTTTCTATGCACGTGAGTACCGTGGCAACACGTACGTAGATATAGAATGCGTGCGTGTGGAGAAGCCCGTAATATCAGTGTTTACATATGTAGGCCAGCTGTGGACGGCCCCCGAGCTTCTGCGTGCCGACAACCCACCTGCATGTGGAACACAAAAGAGTGATGTCTACAGCTTTGGCATCATCCTGCAGGAACTCGCCCTGCTGAAGGGCGTCTTCTACCTGGAAGGTCCCTGTCTCAGCCCCAAAGGTCAGAGCTCACGCACAATACTGTAAAGGTATAATCAACATGTTATTTTTGTGTCCAGATCAATTAATTTATTCAAAAATACATTCAAATGTAATCCATAAATACAATGATGTGAATACACCTTTTCAGGCATGTTTTTAATTTCTGAATTAAAATTAATTCAAATTTTTTGGTGGGCTTAAAGTCTGAAAATATCAGGGTGATACAACTGTTCTGATATCATATTTTAGAAATGTCATGTGTTACAACTCCCCAAATTAATAATATTTAATATATATATATATATATATATATATATATATATATATATATACAGATTATATATATATATACTGTGTGTATATATATATATTTATTTATTTATATATATATATATATATATATACTGTATATATTTATTAAAAAGTCTATTTGTAAATAAATAAGTAAATGGATAGACAATTATTTTTTTCTGACACTTTTAAAACCATATGATACCAACCAGTGTTAGTTTAGTATTAATTATATACTATTATAGTATTTATTTGTTTAATTACTTTTTTTTTGATAGATTGTCATTTTAATTTTAGTTTGTTTTTGTCTTTTTTTTCACATTTCTACATTTCAATATAACAATTCATGATATTTTTTTTAATTTCAGTTTCTGTTTAGTTTCATTTTTATACATAAACTTATTTATACATAAACTTTTATTGCAGTTAGATGCCAAAGGAACATTTCAAATTTTTAAGTTTCATGTAATATTTATTGTTTGTTTGATTTTATTTCATCAATATTTTAATGACTTAAATGGTTTTTAATAGTTTTAGTTTTCATTTTAGTTAACAAGTTAGTAACACTGAAAACCAACATAAACACAAAGAGTACATTTCTAAGACATTGGCACGTTACACTATATTTTAAAAGATTTTTCCTTTACTTTATCATAGACATTCTTATCTATAAACCATTGCTGGGTTAGCTGAATTTTGCAGAATTTTCATATTTGAATTTACCCTTTAAGCAACAGATTCTAAAAAGTGCAGCTCGCTGCATAATCTCTAGAGAAGCATAAAATAGACATACATTTTATTTTATGCTTTCAAGAGAAGTTTTGATTTGTGAATATGAATATTGCAGCATTACACTCATGAGAATGGTTAAGCCACTTAAATAAGACACAGATTATGCAGCTAATTACACTGATAACACTTTACCATGTCATGTTTCCATTCCATGTCATCTGTGTGTCTACATTCACCTCTCTCTCTCTCTCTCTCTCTCTCTCTCTCTCTCTCTCTCTCTCTCTCTCTCTCTCTCTCTCTCTCTCTTTCTCTCTGACTTTTGAAAAGTTATTTTCATCTTGCTCACAAAGTGAAAGTCAATTTCCCAAGGCATTAGTAATAGAGGCATTAGTAAAAAAAAAAAGTTTTTTCACACTTGAAATGTCATTACATTAGATAATATCCAAATATCAAATCAAGTGGCATTTATTTTAAAGGTTACAGGTAACACCAGCATATTTAGGTTTTAAATAAAACACCAGGTGATTAAAAGTCATTGTAAAAATGGCTCAGAAATGTGAAGTTGGTTCTGAGAAAGGTTTGAGCAGCATTTCTTTTACTGCGATGACATTTAGACATTTAGACAAGTGTTCAGTATGCCAATATATACACACTCACATAAATACATGCAATAGATAAATTGTTTGTAAGTTATAACACACATTCACATAAACTCGGCGATATCACACATACTTATAAACGGATCACTACACACATACCAGCGGCTGCATTAAAGAAAGACAATAAAACATTAGCGGCATATCTGGAGCAGTGCCAGCACACCATGAGAACAAATGGATTCAAAGACATCAATGAGAGAATGACAGAGACACTGCTATTGACTGCAGTTTGCAGTCAGAGTGATAGATAGATAGATAGATAGATAGATAGATAGATAGATAGATAGATAGATAGATAGATAGATAGATAGATAGATAGATAGATAGATAGATAGATAGATAGATAGATAGATAGATAGATAGATAGATACTATAGATAGATAGATACTATAGATAGATAGATACTATAGATAGATAGATAGATACTATAGATAGATAGATACTATAGATAGATAGATAGATAGATAGATAGATAGATAGATAGATAGATAGATAGATAGATAGATAGATAGATAGATAGATAGATAGATAGATACTATAGATAGATAGATAGATAGATAGATAGATAGATAGATAGATAGATAGATAGATAGATAGATAGATAGATAGATACTGTAGATAGATAGATAGATACTGTAGATAGATAGATAGATACTGTAGATAGATAGATAGATAGATAGATAGATAGATAGATAGATAGATAGATAGATAGATAGATAGATAGATAGATAGATAGATAGATACTATAGATAGATACGATAGATAGATAGATAGATAGATACTATAGATAGATAGATAGATAGATAGATAGATAGATAGATAGATAGATAGATAGATAGATAGATAGATAGATAGATAGATAGATAGATAGATAGATAGATACTGTAGATAGATAGATAGATACTGTAGATAGATAGATAGATAGATAGATAGATAGATAGATAGATAGATAGATAGATAGATACTATAGATAGATACTATAGATAGATATGATAGATAGATAGATAGATAGATAGATAGATACTATAGATACTATAGATAGATAGATAGATAGATAGATAGATAGATAGATAGATAGATAGATAGATAGATAGATAGATAGATAGATAGATAGATAGATAGATAGATAGATAGATACTATAGATAGATAGATACTATAGATAGATAGATAGATAGATAGATAGATAGATAGATAGATAGATAGATAGATAGATAGATAGATAGATAGATAGATAGATAGATAGATAGATACTATAGATAGATAGATACTATAGATAGATAGATACTATAGATAGATAGATACTATAGATAGATAGATAGATAGATAGATAGATAGATAGATAGATAGATAGATAGATAGATAGATACTATAGATAGATAGATAGATACTATAGATAGATAGATAGATAGATAGATAGATAGATAGATAGATAGATAGATAGATAGATACTATAGATAGATACTATAGATAGATACGATAGATAGATAGATAGATACTATAGATAGATAGATAGATAGATAGATAGATAGATAGATAGATAGATAGATAGATAGATAGATAGATAGATAGATAGATACTGTAGATAGATAGATAGATACTGTAGATAGATAGATAGATAGATAGATAGATAGATAGATAGATAGATAGATAGATAGATAGATAGATAGATAGATAGATACTATAGATAGATACTATAGATAGATATGATAGATAGATAGATAGATACTATAGATACTATAGATAGATAGATAGATAGATAGATAGATAGATAGATAGATAGATAGATAGATAGATAGATAGATAGATAGATAGATAGATAGATAGATACTATAGATAGATAGATACTATAGATAGATAGATAGATAGATAGATAGATAGATAGATAGATAGATACTATAGATAGATAGATACTATAGATAGATAGATACG